TCTCATTCAAACGGGGAGCGGTTTAACACAGGTATAAGAGTATAAGCTCTTGATCATTCACTGACAATCAATAAATCGATACAAGATTAATTTAGATTTACTTGTTAATTGGTTAATTGGCTAATTGGTTAATTGGTTAATTGGTTAATAGGTTAATTGGTTAATTGGTTAATTTGCTAATTGGATAATTGGATAATTGGTTATTTGGGACCACAATTTAGTCGTACTAAATACAACCTACTCTTAGGCTGGCTCATAGGTAATCATGATGTGAAATGTGAATGGCACAGTTTCGGCTCTAGTCTACTGGCTGTAGCCTCACTTAAAACTGGTTGAATTTATCGTCCTGGAATCCGTCTTCATAACTGTTTAATGAGTTAATGGTTTTAATTCGAGTTTTACTAAATTGCAGGTAGCAGCTCTACCACTGATGATAGGACATTACATGGAACACACAAAGCTTCCAGAGAACCTGTCAAGTTGTCATATGGGCGGTTTATACTCGTCCTCATTCTTCTTAGGCTCATTTATTGGCCCTATACTTGGAGGATTTTTAAATCATGTATATTCATATGGTATGAGCTGTACTGTATCGGGTATTATCAACTTAGTATCGGTAGCTATAGTTTTAGGGCTACATATATTTTGTGCGGGATCCTTGTTGAACCCTTGGAATCGGCAGACGCAAAATATTTGAAACCGACCGATTTCATTCTCGGTATCATTCCTTTTGTTTGAAAAAAGGGTCCTGTTTCAAGATTGATTTTCGCGAAGTATGATATATTTCTATCTAAGTTATTAAGTTGTACGTTTTTATGTATCTACATCAAGTTAACCGTATTTAAGGTCGATATTTGACCAGGTTTTAACTTATCGAGTCGATTTTTTACTAGGGTCCATTACAAAGCCAAATTATGAAACTGAGAACTTCCATTAAGCAGTGAATTAATGTTAACGAAATATCATCTTTCAAAACATTTCCTTGTATTCGAGTCATCATATTTTTCGATCACTGATTGAATATGACAATTTATTGAATACAATATGATATTAATAAAAGGCAGAGAACATTAAATTATGATCTAGGTAAATGTAACTAAATAACTCGTTTTTCTCTTCACTTCGAAAGAAAATGGAAAAATAAACTTCAGTATTCCACTTTAAAAACGCAGTTTTTGGGATGAACGATTTAGCGTAACAGAGGGACTACGTTATATAGGCCTGAGGGTCAGTCCAAAAAAAAGGCTCAGTCCAGATGTGTGCCAAACATATTGCTAGTAGGAGATTTTATGCATTTTAGAGATGATGGAGACAAAATTAATGAATCAGATGATACTGAAGCTGAATAAGCATCATATGATCGAAATGGCAGCTCCTACATCGCTACCCCTATAATGACAATTTGGTGACGAGACGGTTATCATGGTACCACAAATCTATATTAATAATCTCAAGATGTGTGTGTCTGTCTGTTGGTCATTTCCGAACGGCTTAATCAAGAAAACAGTAAGAGTTATGGGGCTGATTTTTTCGGTATAGTGCCGACAAACCTCTGAACAAGCCAAATGATTAAGGTTTTTCAAATCGGCCGGTAGTAGGTGGTTTAATTGATGGTTTTGTTCTGCGAATGTGATATTAAAGTGACTAACTTTTTTTCCCTCTCTCACACTCTCTCTCACTTTCTCTCCATATTTACAGCTCCCCTAATTACTGCTTTGTACATAATTAGTTGATTTGGCAGTGGAGCCTATTAAAGTATTAAGTATTACTAATGGATACGTATTACGTGATGGGCGCTCAGAATTAAATTTACTCTAACACGGTCGGTTTCAACTGAGCGAGTTTATACATTTGCACAATTTTTATAACTTTTGCACTGTTTATACTTTTGCAATTCAACTACGATAGTGAAGTCCCGGCCGTAGGCACGGGTTACACTATTAATATCATAATATGACCACATTATCACAGGTACTGTCCCGCTGGTGCAGCAGTGGAGACCCAGTGCCCTCGATCTGGGAACGTACGGTAACACTAACAACGCCACCAGTGTGTCAAGTGTCCGGCTGGGACCTACTGCACGGGTTACATGACTAGTATATAATAATAATAAAGCTGAAGTCAGCCAGGCTGTTAAATTCGCCAAATTTTCGTCAAAAAGTACGCGAATAATTCGCCAATTTACAACTTCAAGTTTTAATTTTTAGGGCTGTTAAATTCGCCAAAAAATGCGCTGAAAATTCGGTAAAAATGTGGCTGTGGGAACGCGCAGCATTTTCGAGTCTAACTCTATAATCTAGTTGGATATTTGAATTGTGACGTTATAGTTCAAATCTCAAACTTACAAATCGCGACATGACAAGTAGAATAGACTGTGGAGGAAATTAAGTAATTCAAGTTTATTAAGAGAAATTAGTTTACTCCATAATTGCATAACGTCTTCGGGTATGAGCTAAATTTAACCCCTTGCGATCTTGGTAGTTGGTCAGTACCCACGCTATAGTCACTGACCAGTAACGACGCACCTGTTGCGGGAAGCATATGTTTTGGCAATATTCGGATTCCACCATACAAAGCCAACTATCGTGAACATTTTGATGCGGGCACATGATTTCCTGTTCCCGTATTTGGTATATTTTTTTACATGCGGCAATTTTCAGAGAAAAATTCGTATGCCAATTTAATTCGAATAATACGTTTAGTGCGAATTTAACAGCATTGGTCAAGTCAGCCCGACAACACCGGCATAAGTGCTCGGAAGCAATTAGGATCGTCATCGAGCTGCTGCAGTTATAATTTAAATTAAAGCATACTAGTGCACTAGTGAGCTAGTGCACTAGTACAGTGAGCTGTCAGCTGTCCAAAACGTTCCAGATAAGTTCAACATGCGAGGGTCCTAATTGTGACAGTGTGACACGCGCCTTCTAACCGTACCTACAAACAGTGATAATTACTGTAATTTATATTTATACTGTAATTTGTAGCGTTCAGGTGACTCTTAATACTGTTAACTACGAATGCAATCTGGCCGCTGGGCAGAGTTCATTTTCGACTGCTCATGCTCCTGATACGTTTATAAAGTTTCTAGATATTTAAATTCTATATTCTAATGACAATATTATATCAAACGTAGTTTTTCAGTTTCTAAATTCTAACGAGTTGTCAGACTTATAAAACATCCCAGCAGGTAACATCAAACATGGCAATAATCAGTTCAGGCGGAACCTCCTACCCAGACCTCTACATATGTATCTTCCTCCTCTTTCTAACTTTCCTCTCAACTCCACTCAACCTCCTAGTTATCCGACACAACCTCCTCAAACCACCCTCCCTCCCCCGGAAACTGTTCCTGGTCCTAGCCACTGCTGACCTGCTCTCTTGTATTTACATCCCTGTGGAGTACAGTATAGGAGGGTTGGCTGGGAGAGATATGAAGGTGTGCACTGAGAGATTCACTGTAATGTTCTGTGAGGAGCATTATGGATCTATGTACAGAGAAGCTACTGTGGGGGAAATAGTGAGGACAGCCATCAGGTGGATTTTTGCTTTGACTCCTTGTTATTTGACGGGAGTGTTAGCTATCACTCGGTTTTACCAGATAAAATTCCCTTTTGGACGTGTTAAAGAAGGACCTATACTGGGGGTCCTGGTTTTTAATTTAGGATACATCTGTATTGTGTTCATTTTGTTCTTCAGGAAGGGAGATGAGAGCAATTCATTTGCTGTTTTCTTGCCCCTCTTACAAGGCGTTTGGAATTTCGATCCCTCCTTTTTCGGCTACAGGATCCGTGTTAATGGCATGTACCTCTTCCTCATTTTCTTCGCATTGCTCCTACAAGTTCTGGCGATCGGAACTTCATTTCTTACTATCAGGGAGATGGTTCAGATGTACAAGAAACCCATGTCAGACACAGCCAGAAGGAACAGTGTTTCTGCTAGCCTGAAAATTCTGATAACCAATTTAGGAAGTTTTGCAACTATAGTAATCTACATTGTGAAGGCCTATGTTTCCAATGCACTTGCAGAGTCAGTTTCGGTAGATATCCCCTGGGAGGATTCCACGATCCTGGCACATGAGCAGATGCCTTGGTTTCCAGGATTTGTCATCTGTTACGCGGCAGTAGTACCAGTCCTGCTCTCCACCCTGAATCCAGTCATCTACATCATCTTTACACCGGGTTCCAGGAAGCTAGGAGGGATCCAGAGCCCTTCGGAAAATTCTACGCTCTCCGAGCAGAGGAAAACTGTTTCTCAGGTGTAACAAAGTGACAAGACATATCGATCACCGGACCATGGAAGTTCTTTTGAACGTTGATGTTGTTTTTCCCTTACAAATTAATATCCTAATAAAAAGGTCTAATAGTTATTTTCGGGGTACCATGACAGTGAAGACTGTTTGTTAAGTTTTCTTGATCGTTTTTTAGGAACATCTAAACACACTAATTGCGTGTCAGTTATAGAAAACACCAAGTGAAATAAACTCTAAGTATATCAATTGTACATAATATGTACTAAATTATGATTTTACTTAATTAATAATAATTTTACTTACTTTAAGATCAATATGTTCTGTTTATCTATGGTTATACCCGAGCGTGCTAAATCACTCTACAGTGATCGATGTTCGATTACTGTTAAAAACCAACTTGGATCGATGTATTTTCGGACGCTGATTCCGAATCACCCCCCATGACGTTACATAGGGTTGGAGATTACTAATGACACTACACTCGACTGTCACGTGACTCTTTTAACCCGTTCTCCAACTTGGAGAACACATTAAAACATAGCTCAAATTGCGTTACTCCGAATAAAAATATTGACCAGTTACGAAGGAACGTTTTTTCATTGAATTTTAGAAACAAATCTTTTGCTTTTTGCGCGCAAAAATTAATTTTTTAAAGATTTCATGAAAGCATTAGAAAGTTAGAACACGAAAAAACACAAAACGTTGAATGTCCGGTGATAAGGGAATGCAATTGTTTGCAGAATGTTCAAACCTGTGTGAAGTGTAGTGCATCTTTTGTGTCATCTATTTTAGCTGCTGCGGTAAAGTTCCAATTGTTTAGTTCCTGGTACCTATATGGATATGCAATATAATATAATAATGTAATTATTACTTAGGGAATTTATGAAGATAATTTCCTATTTTATTTGCGAGACCTTCAGCAATATTTAAAGTGTTTTCATTCAATTGCCTTATATTATAAATCAAACTGCTTGTAGAATCATGTATTTGATTGTTTTGACAAACCAATTGGAGATTGAAGAGTTGAATGCGGAAATGGCATCTTTTGAATCTCGTCCCCACCAAACGTTTTCACCGTAGCTGCCCTCTGAAAATTTTGCCTAGCGAAGAAATTCAAAAAAACCATTTCCATCAATAAAACAGTTGCGAACGTTTCAAAGCTTAAAACGAAACTTTTGGTGACATTATGGTCATCTTAGTAATTCAAAAAATTGCAAGAATTAAACAGAATTGTCTATTTCAAAATAAGAAAATCATTTTAATTTCGTAACAGTTTGCTCACCTGAATGGGACAACTCATTTTCACGTAACATATGTTCACTCCAATGCTGAGTTGTATATTTGACCAGCTTACTACTTATCCCGTAGCAAAGGTCTGGTGTGTTCTGCAATTAGGGTAACTATATTCTACTTTCTTATACAAATTAATAAATCGCCAATTAATCAACTATATCAATTCAGTTATCTTTATTAGAAGCAATAATTATAACATAAAGATAGCTGTCAACTCAGTAATTTATTAATATATGAAAATGTTTGACAATTAAAATGTAACGTTTTTGGGTTCAAAATTTCTAGGTTATGCTCGACGTATCAGCTAAGTCAAAATGAATACATTATAATTGTAATTTGATTATGCATTTTAGTTGTAATTTAATTTAATTGTAATCGTGCAACCCTATAACAGCTACTAATACAAGTGAGTTGACCTGGTGGAGACGTCTATACTGATTGTGGGCATTTAACACAGCCATTTCACGCTTGTTTACTTTAGTTTTACAGATGCAGTGACCTGAAATGGTAATAATGATATCGTATTTTATATCTATTTTAAGCGGGTAATATCCTGTCCAAACCCAGGATACATAACATGAAGACTTTGCTGCAACTTTGTATGAAAAGGATTAATAATACATGGATGACAGATGCAGATCTGTCTGAAAAAATTGATTTGCGAACTTTCAAAGGATTTTTGACATTTTTAAGTCCCACTATGTGTTTTTTGTGGCTGACCAACTTTTCCAAACGTTTCAACGTGTCTTAATATCACTTTTTACCGCTTTTATTGTTTGCCTAATATATTTAGTTCAGAATATTGTAGAACTTCTACGATATTCTCAACTAAATATATTTCTAGTCGACTAGAAGGCTGTGGAGTGTGGATTCAGCGACTTTATTTACAGTTACAACTACAAAAATACATAAGTATCTTACTTGTGTGAACCAACAAAGTAAAGACCAAAAGTACAAACATTCCCCTGTTCATGGAGATTGGAGATCAAATCATGGAATTGAAACAGAACAGTATATGACAGAATATAAAAGAAAGAAAGAAGGCAACATAAGACTAAAATTAGAGTAACAGAGTATTATTGAAAAGTTGACATGCCATATGTTAACTTTGTTGCCCATCACTTAATGTGATTGTTCCACACTTCATATTGTAAAGATCGGTTTCGGGTGACGGGTGATTTGTGGTTACAAACATTATTCCTTCTAATTTCATGGTTAGTCACGTAAACGGTTGGAAAAGGGAACGATAAAGTTTTGGAGCATTTACCATTTCCGGTCGCGTAGCAGTTCATTCGAGATTTTTCCATTTCCATATCTCTTTATTAAATTTGTAAAAAGAGTAGTAGGTAAACTGCCAGCTTTTTTTAGTTTTCTTTCTTTTTCTTTTGAACTACCAGCTTAATAATTTTAGTTAGTTAAGCTTTATGGAGATCAGTAAAACTGTTAAATTTTAAAATTTTCAAAAACATTTTACTAATTATCACGCTTTAAAACATGCAGATGATTCCTTTGGCGATGTTAATGGCGATCATGAACTCTGGAGGGATCGGCAGAAGAATAGGAGCTCCGGAGCAGAGGATAGCTTTCTTCAGATCGATGCAGGCTTTGATCCATTTCTGAAACATACAAGGGATAAGTTTGTTTATCAATTTACTTATTTTTGCTTAGAGACCGTTTAATGATTATATATAATTATAACGTAATAGGGGATGGTTTGGAAATACATACGCTATAATGTTGCTTCTACAAATCTACACAAACACTGTGTAAAATCAAAAATGGATCCCGGATAAGAAGAAGGTATAGATGGTTTTTTTTAACAAAAAAAAAACTTATTAATATTATGTGAACGATCCCCCAGGTTCATTAATATCAATTACAATTCATCCTGGGCCGGCGCCAATACTTAATAACATTTTTTGACCAGTTTATCATATATTTGGAATTAAAAATCTCGTAGTAAAGTAACAAAATAGGTATAATTGTTCCGATGTCTTAAACATTTTTAAAGCTGAGCTTACCTGAAGTTCGTTAAAGTCAATAAACTTTACTCCACCCTCGATATTATCGTCGATAACAGCTAACTTAGCCCTGCAAATACCATCAACAATATTAATAAGTCACAAAGTTTAGGGAAAATAGCTGAGCTGAGTAGTACATTTTTACATTATTTTGCGATGTTTAGTTTATAACTCCCCCCTTAATTAGTGCTAAAATCATGAATTTGAAAATAATGCAAAGATTATCAATCATTTGTAACGCTATTATTGGTTAAATGTAAAAAAGTAAGTGTTACTTACGCAGCCGCAACAGCGACAAGTAAAGCTACAACCAACAGGATCTTCATGATTGAAACTCAAAATAAACTCTTCCGAAATAATTATTACGATTTGATGTGGCAAGCTTTAATAGGGATTCAAATCTACTTCGCACCTTGATTTTAAAAGGTGGGAATTCGATCAGCTGTTGAAATTGTTAAATCAAGTTGTACCAGGTTTTGCCATCCTTTGTTCAAAAAACTGTGAAAATTCGCTATTCAATGTCATGGCAAAAATTTTAGACGCTTATTTCAATTACGGTGCGATTTAGGAGGCAACATGTGTTACCACGGTGAAAAACTTCGTTAAACGTGTGATTTAACTACATATTATAACACGTGTTCGACGTACTGACAAATCAATCAGACTTAAATCTGCACGTTTTTATAATAATATTTTAACGAGTAAGTTGTTCGGGTATTGTCAATATAATATGTTTCAGAATTATGTAATGTAACCTAATAGAAATATTTTAAATGGGCATATCCTGTCCAAACCCAGAATGCACTACATGAATAATTCGCTGTAACTTTGTTTTAAAAGCATTAATACTCCAACATGGGGAATTGTACGATTATTCTTCTCCAGGACGCTCCATTTTTATACCACCGCGCTCACAATCTACATTTTGCAGTATTCAAGGTCGTTTTAATTCAGCCTCCATTTAGTATAAAACCAAAGAAATTGGGAAAATGATATTGTGCGCTATTCAGATCATGCCACAGGGGTGCCATAGTGTAAAAAACTGCTGCTAACTGCAGCTAGCAGCAGTAAGCAGCAGTTAGCAGCAGTTAGCAGCAGTTAGCAGCAGTTAGCAGCAGTTAGCAGCAGTTAGCAGCAGTTAGCAGCAGTCAGCAGCAGTTAGCAGCAGTCAGCAGCAGTTAGCAGCAGTTAGCAGCAGTCAGCAGCAGTTAGCAGCAGTCAGCAGCAGTTAGCAGCAGTAAGCAGCAGTTAGCAGCAGTTAGCAGCAGTTAGCAGCAGTTAGCAGCAGTCAGCAGCAGTTAGCAGCAGTTAGCAGCAGTTAGCAGCAGTTAGCAGCAGTCAGCAGCATTTAGCAGCAGTAAGCAGCAGTTAGCAGCAGTGAGCAGCAGTTAGCAGCAGTTAGCAGCAGTCAGCAGCAGTTAGCAGCAGTCAGCAGCAGTTAGCAGCAGTCAGCAGCAGTTAGCAGCAGTCAGCAGCAGTTAGCAGCAGTTAGCAGCAGTCAGCAGCAGTCAGCAGCAGTTAGCAGCAGTTAGCAGCAGTAAGCAGCAGTTAGCAGCAGTTAGTAGCAGTTAGCAGCAGTTAGCAGCAGTCAGCAGCAGTTAGCAGCAGTCAGCAGCAGTTAGCAGCAGTCAGCAGCAGTTAGCAACAGTTAGCAGCAGTAAGCAGCAGTTAGCAGCAGTCAGCAGCAGTTAGCAGCAGTTAGCAGCAGTTAGCAGCAGTTAGCAGCAGTCAGCAGCAGTTAGCAGCAGTTAGCAGCAGTTAGCAGCAGTTAGCAGCAGTCAGCAGCATTTAGCAGAAGTAAGCAGCAGTTAGCAGCAGTGAGCAGCAGTTAGCAGCAGTTAGCAGCAGTCAGCAGCAGTTAGCAGCAGTCAGCAGCAGTTAGCAGCAGTTAGCAGCAGTAATCAGCAGTTAGCAGCAGTTAGTAGCAGTTAGCAGCAGTTAGCAGCAGTCAGCAGCAGTTAGCAGCAGTCAGCAGCAGTTAGCAGCAGTCAGCAGCAGTTAGCAGCAGTTAGCAGCAGTCAGCAGCAGTTAGCAGCAGTCAGCAGCAGTTAGCAGCAGTGAGCAGCAGTTAGCAGCAGTTAGCAGCAGTTAGCAGCAGTTAGCAGCAGTTAGCAGCAGTCAGCAGCAGTTAGCAGCAGTCAGCAGCAGTTAGCAGCAGTTAGCAGCAGTCAGCAGCAGTTAGCAGCAGTGAGCAGCAGTTAGCAGCAGTGAGCAGCAGTTAGCAGCAGTTAGCAGCAGTCAGCAGCAGTTAGCAGCAGTTAGCAGCAGTCAGCAGCAGTTAGCAGCAGTCAGCAGCAGTTAGCAGCAGTAAGCAGCAGTTAGCAGCAGTTAGCAGCAGCTAGCAGCAGTTAGCAGCAGTTAGCAGCAGTTAGCAGCAGTCAGCAGCAGTTAGCAGCAGTTAGCAGCAGTCAGCAGCAGTTAGCAGCAGTCAGCAGCAGTTAGCAGCAGTCAGCAGCAGTTAGCAGCAGTTAGCAGCAGTCAGCAGCAGTCAGCATCAGTCAGCAGCAGTTAGCAGCAGTTAGCAGCAGTTAGCAACAGTTAGCAGCAGTTAGCAGCAGTTTCTTTGCACTATGGCACCCCTGTGATGCTACTAAAAAACCGAAGGGCTTTGACAAGCCGTCAGCTTCAGCCTTGGATCACTCTAATTAAATTAGCTTGACATTCCCAATTAATTAAGATAGCATTAAAAAAACTTGTTATGCTTCTTAACTAATGTCAAGCTTATCATTTTCAGTTATTTTTTAAAACGTCGCTGTATTATCCACACTTTAAATATTTCATTTTTCCCAATCGCGATAACAAATGAAAACAATGCTATTATTTATTTGCACAAATTCTAACAAATCAAAAAAATAAACTCAATGGGTGAGAATGTTGAATCACTCGATCACCAGGCCACGTGTTAATCACCGCAGGTCACGTATTAATGACACATGTGCTCGTGACGGCAGACCCCATCATCGCAACGGATGGTTCCTGAAGGACAGTCTCCATCGGCATCGTCATTGCAGTCTCCGCATGTTCTCGGACAAGCCTCCTTTATCAGCGAGTATTTGCAGAACTTCTCTTTGCAACCTGGAGGTGATACCAGGGGTTATATTTATGAAGGAGTCGTTTGAACATGCAGTTGACGGAATATCAGAAATTTATGATGTTTGGCAAGCTAAACTGATGAAATGTTATAATATTATAACATGTTCCTAAAAAGACTAAAAAAGAGCATTATCACTTGTAGCAAACACGGAATAATCCGGATATTGCACAAACATCTATACCCTCAAGTAACTAAAGTAACCTGTGAAAGTCTCCACACAAGGTTCAGGATCAGGACCAGGATCAGGTCCCTCGTCGTCCCCAGCGTTATAGTCAGTCGCCCTGTCTGATTCGTTATTGTCTTCGCTACCTCTCCTATAGGAGAGCACCGCGTATCCTACAAACCTGCGGCAATGTTGTTGTGTGTGCAGTCGTTACGAAACACTATTTCATTATATTGTGGGTTGTTTAAACTTTTAAAGGGTCAACATCAAAAAGTGCTCCAAAAAGGTAATTTACAGAAGTTTAAACGTCCCTCCATTGTAATTTCTCGCCGTCATCTCCCCAACCATTCATAACGACGTGACCTAACACGTGACCTAACACTATGGTAGTCACGTGACACTATGGTAGTCACGTGACACTACGGTAGTCACGTGACACTCCTTATATGGTTGTATTTTATTACCTGTGGAAAGAACACCCATCGTAGTTTCTCGCAACCTTAATGAAACCGTCATCTCCCCACTCTGATCCCCAGGAGTTCTTAATCAGGATGTATTGTTCAGTGTAGGCTACCGCGGTCAGAGCGTGGTTCGGAAAACTGGGATTAGACACGGTTAAAATACTTAACAGCTGTATTGTGCGGTCAATAAAGCTTAAATCAAAATAAAAATCCAAATCCAATATAAACAGACTAACTAAACTGAGTGGTGGAAAAGCAAAAATAAGAAAACCTGCACATCTTACCTAGTTCTGGTATTGTCCCGGTAAATCCCGGAAGTGTAGGCGAAGAAGGAGTCACGGACATTGATCGTCACTGCTAGGGGTCTCAGAGACAGAGCACGGATTGTGTGAACTTCACCCTCCTCTATCTCAACGTAGGCCTCCACGTTAGCACCAACCATAGAGTTGGGATATTCTTCTAAACTGCAACTACCATCAGCACCTTGGTAAGGATAATCAGCAGTGCTAGCTAGCTTTCCAGCCACTCGAACTGAATCCACACCATCCCTCATCCACCCGCCACCACAACCGTCTCTTTCCGGATAGGTACAGTCCAGCATCTGCTCCTCTGCGAAGTTTCGCAGAACACCAGTCTTGAGCTTGTAGGCACCCTCTAGGGCTCCCATGGCTCCAAACGCCCAGCAGGACCCACAGCTTCCCTGGTTCTTGATCTCAGTGACCGCTCCAACTCTTATCCAGGACCTGGCAAGAGGTTCATCGTCTGCAGCTCCATCGTCTGATCCTTCATCTTCTCTTTCTTGTCTTTTCTCCATTCTCTGAACGTTGGTCACGTTCAGACCAAGGAAGGAGTGACGTTCATCATCTGTCATGTCAGCAAAGTGGTTCATGCCTTCTTTCCAGGTGGAGTCTCCGTGGTTGTGGACGGAGATTTCCTTAGGTTAGAGTAATATTAATAATATGAAGTAATATATTCTGAAGTAAGAGTAATATTTTAGTATAGTTCTTTTAAATGAGATGGCACAGCATTTTTGTTATAATTTTTTGGAATATGGGGACCTCGAATGCTCAAAAATCGCGTTCAAAGATGATAGAAGTTGTAATTTTACGACGACGTGTTATAATTAAAACTTCACAAGCCTGGGACCACTACACAAGCCTGGGACCACTATTAGCCTAAGGGGTCATTCATAAACGAAAACTCAGACTCAAATTGTGAGATAATCTTAGATTTTGAGATCAAATTCGCTTTTGGTATTCGTAAAGTTAATATTTGCAGGGCTGAGTATTTCGTCGCTAGTAAATGCTCAGAGTTGGAACTAGCACTCAAATCGGTATTCATAAAGTTAGTATTTACTCGTCACCCAAAACTAACTCAAGATTGGTATTCATAAAGTTAGCAAAAGATCAAAACTCATGCTCAAAATGTGAGAACCGAATTCACATTCTCAAATCATTTTCTCACCTATTGCTCAACGACTTTTAACTTCCCTTCTAATTGATATTTTCACTTCAAATTTTCAGGGACGACTCCTCACTGCCAGTACAAAAGCTTTAATATATTTTGTCCCAATTGGATGACGTTTTTGCAAATTTTCCCAGAAAAATAAACACGTTAGAGTATAAGCTTCCTTGTAAGTCCAATATAGATGCGACCATTACGGTTAGTTAAAGCTAAAAATGGTGTCCCCACGACATTCAGGAGCCAAGTAACGCAGATCAGTCATCAATTCAAAAAATAGTTATAAAAAACCTCTTTGAAAGCTTTGGCTAGGACTAGCGATAAAAATTGCGTACCGAGATGATTGTAATAGGTTGAACAGTGAAAACAAACGTACACTGCTAATTGCTAATATGAAATGCAATTTCCAACCACCATTGATAGTTAACATATAATAATTTTTCATCGCCCAGAATTGAGCCGCTTGATTGAAGTCCTGAGTTGTTGTCGGGAAAATAATCCAAACATCACGTTTTGCCACAATTCTTTCTATTACATACTTCACAGTCCGTGAAACAGTAGGTTGGGAGACGCCGACTATTTCGGAAACCCTATTTTGGAAACCCGGGTCTGAAAAATATCGGAGACAAATCTCCATTTTCTGTTTATTTGTCAAAGCGCCTCCTCGCGTTTCACCGGAATCAGGTCCCAAAAAATGCCTGGCCATCCAGTCAACGGACGGTTCTTCAAAGCGGAACTGGGTTTTGTAGTAAAAGTCCGTTTGGGGCTGACGTCGGGTCTTGAATGTTCTAGTCGAATGTGGGGCCGGTGGTAAAAGAGGAAGTGCCATAGAGCTCAGACTTAACACAAGCTGAGTTCAAACTTCGTCAATTAATCAATAACAAAATTAATCAATAACAAAAGACACAATCATGTCGAAAACATGCCACGAACATGATCATACAAAAGTTCAGCTTAACTTTCTATCACTGTCGGTATTGGGTTAGAATAATCTGCTAGGTAATTATTGAGCATCGATATGTATTTAATAAAGTTTGAGAAATTGACGGCAAACCACAGTAAAACTACGGTGGGTTTCGGGAAACTACCGTGGATAAAAGAAAACTACAGTAAATCACGGTAAACCACTGTAAAAGGGACGTGAAATTACCTGTAGGGGACACAATATCGCACACGAAACATTCATTATAGATATCAAGAATGATTCTGAATTATCTTCGGAGTCAAGGGTGTTATCATTTTGCCGCCATTTCAAGATTGCGATATCACAAATTCCATCACAGACATATGCGGTACGTGATGTGCGAATGTCGAATGTACTCGACACAAATTTCCCTCGAAAATGTTTATTTCACATTCCTTCGATACATCGATGTACATCCGAATTTGGGTGTTTTCCCATTAACATAAGATGGCAAACAAAAGATCTGAATTAACCTGTCGTGCTTCTTAAAATACTGATTTGAGTATTTGAGTGCTAGTTTGAGAGCATTTTAGTGAGTATTTACTTGAATGTAAGTCATACTCACGATGAATTCAGCTTGAGTATTAGTTTTTACTGGGCAGTATATGCTCAAACTTTGTGAATACCGATTTGGAGACTCAGAAAAATCTAAGTAATTACTAGCGAGTATTTACTTAAGAAATACTTAGTTATTATGAATGACCCCTATAGTCACAACATCTACAAAGCTGCCATATAGCCTGACTGACAATTTTCTCGACTGACTGACAATGTTTCTTCTTTTTCCCCATTTAGAATACAAAGATTAGTACATTTTGGCTTATGATTAATATTATATTTTTACCTATAGTTTACCTAGATTATGAATAGTACCAATTGAGCATCAAATTATAAAATAAAACTGGTAATCTAAAAATTAAAGTTTTGACAAACCTGAGCATGCTTCCTAAAAGCCCTGAATCTCATGGATCTCTCTTCCTGGGAACTTCCTCGATGGTTTTTTTCCTCGAACTCAACGAAAACCTTTCCCATCTCACTCGGGTTCTGGAGCATGCTATCAAGGGTAGCATCATCCACCAAAACAGCAGCAACTGCTGCCAGCAGGATAGTTAGCACGGATACTCGAAGCATTTTGACACGAATACGGATTCGGATTATATTATTGGTGATGTGGATTACGGTCTTATATATCTAAAAAGGTTCATTGTTGTCGGGTGCACGTTCAAGCTGGGCGCGTGGCTTTGTTTACACGTGTTTATTGTTTATGATACTCCAGGTGGGGATACCTTTTCTCTCTATACCGTTTTCTCTCCTTCGTTCGATCGTACTACTGCAGCGCAGCCTTTGTTTTCTCTCAGCTCAATACTCTCTAATTGTTTGTCTTACTATATTAATATACTATATACCAGCTGTTTTACTATAGACTATTTACTACTAGAAACCCCTCAATTTTCAGTTTTTTGCCGCTGCCGGTAAGATTTCGTCAAGTTTAAAATATAATATAGATATGCCACCTGTTCCACCATCCACCACTTCGACAACTCTCCAGATGGTATTTATTGTTTATAGGACTCCTTTATGGTCTTTCAGAGAGCTCCCTTATTGTTTATAACTGGTAGACTGAAAACCGGATGCTAAACCTGTGATGTTTCAGCGGTTCACGTGCTGTTTATTTGTCTTCATTGCACTCTATAGTAGTAAATAAACTGCTGCTCTATGGACCGAGAACTCGAGGTAGTGCTCCAGTCCCCACCCACATCAATTGTTGAGGATCATACAATGCTTAGTGAGAGAAGCACGTGTCTGGGCAGACTGTTGAAACTTTATAGGGAAACGTAGGATCTTTTAACTTTCAGCTTCATCTCTCAGCGTTTTTAATAAATATAACGCGAGAAGATTGGGAAGCCGTGTAAAACATTAATATACCAGAGCCAACATATAAGTACGCCAAAATGTTGTGAAAAGTGCGACTCAGCACTTGCTTATAAGTATAATTGTTTAATGTGCGGCTTAGCGGAAAATTTTGCGAATAGTGCGGCTCATGTGCGGCGAATAATTGCGAAATGTTTGGCGAATTTTCTTAAGTTAGTCTTTCTGTGTTAGAAAGCTGCCCAAACATTACCAATTACTATAACATAATGTTATTGTTAGGTTTATAATTATTCGTATAAGTAAAGGAGTCGATCACATATTACGTAATTAGCCGATGGAGAAGGGATTTGTAAAATGAAGATTGATTACGGGTGGAGGGGATAAAAGTGCAATCGTTGGAATGTTTATCTACTCAGAAATGTGGTGTCTTTTACTCAAAATTTACACCATTTTGATTCTCAAAATGGAATAACCATTAATCATGCTACTTTACATTTTAAAAGTTACTCAGCACTCATATTTCATCGGAAATAGCATACATTTAGAAAATAGCGCTATATTTTATTCCATCTAGCTATGTCTTATCAAAAAAATAACTGTTTGGTGCTTTGGTCGGAATATAATTATATAAAATATTTGGCGCTTTGGTTGGAATATATAAAATATTTGGTATCGAGCTGCTGGTAAACGATTCATTGAGTCACTAGTCAATATCTTAATTAAGGTAGGTAAGGCACCGAAACTGTTTAATGTTTATTGCGGTAGGTACATAGGTATTGGTAAGGTACCGAATATGTGCGGTAAACGGCTTTAAGTGCGAATATAATGTGCGTGAGATAATTCCACGCACGACGCACTTATAATATGTTCCTTTTGTAACATATTATACTGCGCCATGCATTTACTTACATACTTAAATGACGCTATTAAAGTTTATATTATCCACAGTCTTCACTCAAGTTATAAATTTCAAATTAAAAATCGTGGCTTGAAATGCAGTGATAATTCATTCTTCAATCTGATACTGAGAAATACATAGTAAAGTTAGATTAAGAAATACATATTTAAATTAAAAATCTCCCCTTGGACCTCAATATTTCAAAAGGAAAAGTAAAGTAACTCATATAATACGAAAACTGGAATTGTTGATAATATTGAAGTTTGGAGCATATGTAACTTTGAGCATATTTATTGTGATATAAATCGAAATTTTACCCACTTCCTGATTCGCAAATTAAAATGGCTGTAGCTCATCGACAAAAAGGGAACAAAGGCCGACGTTAAATTGAATCTCGTGACCATTAGTGTTATCTCAATACCACTTGATCTTAATACCACGGTGTCACGTGTTCTTAATAACACAGTGCGACATGTCCGTATTCTGCACACCTCAGTCCTGGACTGCAAGCCTGTGAAAAATGATACTTTTATGATAAATTTGTTATATTCAGTTCGTTATATTCAGTTCTCTTTCATGATACAACTGTTAGTAAATGATAAATATGTTAGCTGCAGCTGCAGAACTAATATAAAATACCAAATCTCTTTACTTGACGTATGTCAATGTGTCCATCTAATAGATGTTAAATCAAGAAACTAAAACTCAGACTTGCGTATTCAATAAATACGCAAGTCTGAATTTTAGTTTTTTGATTTAACATATAGTATAAATACTTAAATACTATTTAAGTATTTATACATAAGTTAGATCTATCAATTACTATAATTTATAAATCACTGTCATTAGTTATAAATTACAGAATCACAGAAATCCTCACCCCTGGGCAGAGTATCTCCTTCTCCTGAAAGTGAACTGTGGGATTATCTGCGGATGTACTCCTACTTTTTCTTACGTTGTTATCTTTATCCAGAGAACTGCGAACTGGTACTCCAACCACTGATGTAAATAAATAGCTGCTCATTTTAAATTTTGTTTTTTAACAGCTATTTGTTTTTCTAACTTAGAAAACATAAAATGAAAAACGGAATCATCGAATACTTGGGTTTTATATGCAAGTTTTTACTCCATAAGTTAAATTATCTAAGCACAACATCATTAATGCAGTTCTATAATCTATAAGTTCAGAAGAGGCAACATAAATCATAATCAAACATGCGCAAAAACCTGCGCTGAAATCCTAACATTAGAGAATTTGTCAGCTCAGTGCTAAAGACTAACCCAGATATGCGAGAGACACTATAAGTATTACAATAACACTGCTACATAGCCGACCCATCTCCCGTCCCTTTCAATTTGACATAAACTGATGACAAGTCTTAAATTACAAATAAGTTCAAATTCGGTGACGATGAATTGTAAAACTACACGATACAGGCGGTGCAAAATGATTTATTCAAAAAATAAGTAAAATCCCCCCATTGAACTACAATGTTTTCAGTTATGAATGAAAACAATCTGATCATGGTTTCATTAAAATCAAAATTGAAGTAAAAAACATATCTAACAGAAGATATTCTGGATTTATAAACTCAAACTTAAAATAAATAGTTTTCTGGATTTATAAGTTCACCAAATTACCTGGTAATCTAACTGCTAACAGCATCTTTATCTCCGAAATTGACAAGGGTTATTTATAGTGCCTGCAGTTGATACGGTTTTAAAAGAGTGATAATGGAAGCATTTTACTCGATGGTTTTTTAGAGGAAGAAGGCTTGATGACCATTTTATCACCTGGTTAAGAGGTAATTCGCTAGACTATGATGTAGATATGATACCTGCACCTGGAAATGTCGTTAAAGGAAATTTAACTCATTAAATACATGCTCACTGCAGCTATTTAGCAACAATGATCAGTCTCAAATATCGATTACAAATAATTACCACGCCTACTATAATAGTATAATTATTTACTGGGCGGCGTTCAGCCTGTCATTCCGTTGCATCTGTTTATAAGGATAAAAGCCTGAGGTTCCCACTCCCCATACCAGGTAAACAACTGTAAGACTAAGGATATCCCTTAATTTTCAAGTTTGGGTCTTGTTGTCTTAACAGGACGGTAGAATTTAGCATATGTCCCCGGGGAGGAAGAGTCCCGGGGAGGAAGAGTCCCCGGGGAGGAGGAGTCCCCGGGGAGGAGAAGTCCCCGGGGAGGAGGAGTCCCCGGGGAGGAGGAGTCCCCGGGGAGGAGGAGTCCCCGGGAGGAGGAGTCCCCGGGGAGGAGGAGTCCCCGGGGAGGAGGAGTCCCCGGGGAGGAGGAGTCCCCGGGGAGGAGGGGTCCCCGGGGAGGAGGAGTCCCCGGGGAGGAGTCCCCGAGGAGTATCATTCAGTAGTTCATTGTTTGCTTCTGGGTTCTGCTATTCTCTGTCTTCATAATCGGGACTCAAACAGATGTTTTCAAAACATATTCTTGGTGAAAATATCTTTGTCGTGAAACCTCCAATAAATTGATTAAATTGTTGTACAAAATTATACAATTCATTTCTTAATAAACAGATAATTTTATGGCTAGTAATCCCTTACTCTTGGTTGTGATATATCAGGAGCTTACATTTACTTACTTCGTTACTTCGTTGAGTTCATCCGTGGAGTCGGAAGGGTCATCAGATATCTGACCACCTGGATGGCGAGTAGTCGACCAGTGAGTTTGACCAACTGCAGCTGTAGCCGGCGACCGGAGGGTTGTCCGGTATCAAAGCAAGAAAGTTCGACAAACTACACTTAAACATGTCAAAGGATGAATCAGCCTTTACTGTGTGAGGCACTTTGTTCCACAGCTTCGGTCCTTGAACTGCAAAAAACCTGTCGTACAGTGACTGGTTGCGTAAGGAACTTGACTTGGACAATGAGGGTATGACAGCTACATCCCCCTGTCTTGGGGTCACCTTGAATTTGATATCACAGCAGTTTGGTACCACATTATGGAGAATCTTCCACATCATCAGGATGATATACCTCTCCCGTCTGCGCTGTAGAGACATCAATTTAAGCTGTACGAGTCTTTCCCAATAGTTGAGATGTTGAAGACCGCCAATACGACTGGTGAAATTATTAATTATTATGTAACAAATAAAATTGATTAAAAACAGCTGCATAGAAAGTTTAAGTATAGTTATATTTGATAATTTTTTTCAATCTCCAACATTTTACAACTAAAATGGCGAAAAATTCCAAACGTTCCATTTCATTCCTTTCATAAAACAATCAAGAACTAGTGTCTATCTTCGAGTTCATCAGAAAGTGTTCATTGTTCTTCTCATGTCAGAGAGTTCAGTGTTCAGAGCATTCTTAGTGACAGTCGTTGATCTACTCAAATAATCATCAGTTTAGTCCAGCAACCTTCTTCGTTCCCCCTCTCCAACAGAACCCTCACCAGTAGTACAGCACCTTATCAGAACGCTGGAGATCACCCTAATCCTAGATTTGAGGAACCCCCTGAAGCTGTTAAGAGTGAGTGTAAGGATGTAGAAGTTAGCTGTTACCCCAAATAAGGAAATGCCCATCGCAAATGTATAGAGATTATTAAGGTAGGCTTTTGGGAAAATAAAGTGAGCGATGTAGTAGATAGCCGAGGGAATGCTGATGAGAGTGTGGACGGTAACAGTGAGCAGGACTGTCAGGACCCCTTGCCACTGGAGACCTCTGTCTGCAATCCTCCTAGCAACAACTAGCAACAACACACTACTTACTATAGTGATCAAAGTAAAAGTGAGCAGGGTTAATCCTATCGCGGTGCTGTAAACTGCAATTCCCGTATTCGTCCACTTGCCCCAATTATAATCGCAGTTGTAGGTATCATGATCAAAATAGACACCACTTTTATCTCTAGCAATTGCTGCAGTAGGGAATATGAAGCTGCATACCCACATCCCACAGGCTATCATATGAGCAGTTTTACTTGGAAAGTTAAATGCTCTGAGAGGATATTTGACTATGAGCAGCTTAGAGAAAGCTATAGCAGCCATCAGTTGACATACAACCGAGGCACAGCTAGCATATACAAACAGATCTAGGTAACATAGGATGTCTCCAAGGATCCAATCATTTGCAGCCAAGGACACTACACCGGGCAAAATACTGAACACTGTTAATAATAAATCTGCAACAGCAATGTATTGGATAAAGGTAACTATTACTTTATGAAGCTTTATCGCATTGTACCTCAGGGACCCGACCAAAATGAGCGTGTCTCCGATCAGTGAAGAAATAGAAATGAAGGATTCATATCCGATAAGAATTTGTCTTTCTCTTTTGTTCATAATGGAGCAGTCGGCAGTAAGATTCTGCCTTCAAATTCCCTAGATAATTTGAGAAATATAGTCTAGTAGTAATAGTATCACCTATTTAAAATTAGGTTTACTTACTAAAAGTAAAATATTATGATCATTATAATTATACCACTATTATGCAACTATTGACTATACGTACGTGGACGGCTGAAAGGGGTTCACCAAAATAAAAATAAAATGAAGCATTTCACGTTATGTTTTGGTCATGTATACCAGATGAATAGACTATATATTATAGAGATCTGAGATACATAACGGGTGATACTCGTAAAATATTTTTTCAAATATACGGTCAAGACCGTCCGTTGACGAGTCCAAATCGGCGCGCGTCTTGACAGGTTATAAAGTTAAACCTATAATGCAATGAGATACAAACAAATAAAAAGAATACAAATAATTATACACCGTCCAAATAACTGTTACTGATCCTAAACATACAGGGTTACTCAACAGCGGAAATAATTTTCAGGAAACTACCCGCATTGTAATTTAATATCAAATTTCATATCAAAAGGTCTAGGTGTTCTGTGGAAGAGGAGCTCCAGTGGAAGAGGCGGTCCACGCGTTATCCAGGAGAGTTGCAAACAAACAGGTTATTACAAACAAGTTATTGCAAACAAACAGGTTTAATAATACAAATACAGGTTTTTAAAACTGGTTAAAATATCGTTCCACTAATTGATGAATTCAATAACTCTATTAATCCAATAATTTCTTTATAAATAATTCTAATAACAATAAATGTCCTTTCTGACCAATGGCTGCATTGCTCTGCAAATCTCTCCAATCAGATCTTAATCATATAAGTGATCACTTAATTCATCTTTATGAAACCCAATGCCAAAGTGAATATTTGCAATTTTACATGGTTTATCTACCATTTTAATGATTGATTGGGGGACTGGTCCGTAGTACCAGCCAATGTTTACTCAAAAGTAATATATAATTGAAATAAGTTAAATATTCATCCCCGAGGGGCACGCAGATTATAATTGTGATGTTATCTATTAAAACTATTCGATTAAAATTTTATTGGTCGAGTCGTCTAGCCCTGATCTGCAAACATATTTGATATTGGTAACTTTATGATGCTGCCTCACCGCAATTAGGTGTGTTATCAGTGTAGATATGCGCTATGTGGCAGTGAAATAAGGAATGTGCTGTTAGAATGGCAGGTGGTTTGAAATGTTGTCCTGATTCAGATTGTTTAATTTGAGCTGTATGAGTTTGGTTTTGAGTGATTATTGACTATGTTCTTTGTGATTTACGTAATCCAGGTAGGTTGTGGAGTAAAAATGGTGGCCATTCGTCGTTGCAGCCAGCACTTTGCAAGTCTAGTAGTACTTTTTTTGACGAATTCTTATATATGTTGATAGAAAATATACTGGATGGGCATGTAATGCGAGTGTTATGCTCTGAAATAGCGAGCATTGGGCCTTTATAAAAGATGCTAGATCTCAGGTCAGTCTGTGAGTAAATTGATAACCAGTCTAAGTTTTGTTCGTGTGTCGTTCCTTGTTTGGGTGTGTTAGGAGGGAAAAGTTCTGAAATCGATTTAGGTAACAAACTAGACATATTTCGAATTTTGTGCAGTAAAATAAGTGCGTTTTTAACGATAACCCCTTGAACGGTTAAGACCTCGTGTTCTTTAAATGCTAGTTTTGTGTGCTCTGGCAGTTTTCCGTCCTTGTAGTAGTAGTTCACATTTCCGGCCATAACTGCCCTCATACCTTGTTTTTGTTTAGCAAAAAGAGATTCTATAAGAGATTTTGAAGCAAATCCCCAGACAAGTGAGCAGAAGTTTAAATGGGACTGAACAAAACTTTGGAAAATCTGTAAACGGGCCTTCATTGGCAATTTATGTTTTATCCTGTACATCACCCCAATAAATCTTGACATCTTGCTCCTCAGTGCTTTTATGTGGCTACTCCAGTTAAGCTTTTCATCTACAATTACACCAAGAAACCGGGCTTCAGTTTTACGTTCTAATACTGTATTTTCTATTTGTACTTT